TGCAGCTTGCCTTGCATGTTCCTTAGGTTTTCGATACGAAATCGAAGTTCAACTTATGGAAAATGGGGGCCTTGTCCATTATTAGGTCAACACCTCGACTGTATGGCAGGTTTGTGTCGTGCCGACGTGGCCGCGATTCCAGCGAAGGCGTTCGAGGCCAAACGCCGCCAGTGTCCCAGAACGCTATCGGAAAGCCGCGATCCTGGTTGAAGGATCCGCGCGGTGGCAGAAACAAACCTGGAAATCGTCACGGCACATATTTGCGGTAGGGTTCAGGGGATGTTCGCGGGCCGCCGCGGCGGGGGAGGCTGAAAATTGAACAAGCTGCCCGATGTGAAGAAGTTCGTGAAGACCCCAGGCCACGCCGACCAGTACGAGGGCCTCACGGTCAACTATATCCCGGGCAAGAAGCCCACGTTCATCTGTTTCGACGCGGATTGGGCCTTGTGCTTTCGGGGCTGCGGCAGCCAAATGTGTTCCCTTTCCCAAGACTTCAGGGTGTCGGTCTTCTTCGGGCATCTTTGAGAGCGGCGTCAAGGATTAGCGTTGGCTCGCTTATCCCAAAGTTGTTAGCAATATTGCTATGCGTAATTCCTGCAGGGATGTTTATTTCGCTTGATTGTTTCAATGTTCATGGCCCAGGCTGATTCAGGATAGGTTCGCGCGCGCATTCTAGACAAGTGTGTGCTCGTACGCGTGCTCCTCGCACGCGATGCTCAGTCTGATGTTTCCCTGACCAGCTTGCCTGTATGGGTTCTGTATGAGCTGGTTACGAGAGGAATCGGTGGTCTGCCGGATCTTGAGTCTGGCGGGCGGCGGTGTTTCTCGTTGTATCCCATGGTCTACTCCAGATTTCGTAATAAAAGGGAGGGGGTCTGGACCCTCCAAGACAAGCCATTTCAGACCTCCCCCGTGGGAGAACCCTCCAAAACATCGTCCCCAGACCCCCCCAGGCCCTCCAAGATAGCCTGGAAGAGACCCCCCCCCGAAATGAGACCCCCCTCCCTTTCTTACGAAATCTGGAGTATTCGATCCCTGTCCTTATCCACACTGTCTCCCGTGGTCTCCCACTGTCTCCGATGTCTTTCTTCCTGCTGTGTCCCATTGGTTATCCATACCCGTGTCCCCATCTCCATCCCTGTCCCTCTGCCTCTATCCTTGTCCCGTTTAGTCCTAACCTATTTCCCTACCCTTATCCCGATCCCCATAACGATCCCTATCCCTGCATCCCTAGCCCCATATTTCTATCCCTATTCCCATCCCGACCCCCCCCATCGTGGCCCCCTATCGTGACCCCACATCGTGGCCCCCATCGTAACTGTGTAAAGCTATCTAGGGTCTTCTGCCGCAAGGGTGTCATATTTTATCCGTGTCGCGTGCTCGTTCATCTGATATTGTTGCAGAGCAGCGCTTGCATCTGCGAAAGCTGGCACGCCGCAAGCGCACCCGACAAGTGCGACCCGCCGATCACATGAGTCACGATATCGATGCCAATCCCCCTCCAACTCCTCCCGCTGCTTCTCCTCGCCCTCCTCCTCCTCTCCTCGGAGGTGCCGCCAGCGCCAGAGCAATGCTCTTACCCGCCAGCGGACAGGGGCCGAGATTCCATACCTGCGAGGCCGAACGGGCAGAGAGAGAGAGAGAAAGAGAGAGAGAGAAAGAGAAAATGTATGTTCACAGAGTAAATAGGCTGACGCAGTGCCATCGACTCGAGCCGATTCCTCCAACTCCTCATGTTGCACCGTTTCGGGCCGCTCCGCAACCCAGGTGGGCTCCACGCTGCCTCACCTGCCGCGCGCGGCGCGAAAACGCGTGCGCGGACGCATGCGAACCTCCCGTGAGCGCATTGGATTGCGCGTCCGAGAGGGGCCGGATGGTTCTGGCTGGCTGTAGTGGGGGAGGAAGCGAAGGAACAATGAGAAGAGGATGGGGAAGGGAAGGAAAAGAAGGAGGAGCAGGGGGAAGAGGAGGGGGAAGGGGAGGGGGAAGGGGAGGGGGAAGGGGAGGGGGAAGGGGAGGGGGAAGGAGAGGGGAAGGGGAGGGGACAGGAAGGGGGAGGGGGAAGGAGCACGCTCGCGGAGGCTGAGGAGGAGACAAGGACGAGGACGGAAACGAGGAACACAAGGAGGTGGAGGGGGGGGGGGAGGTGGAGGGGGAGGGCAGGGAGAAGAGGTGAAGGGAGGGGATCGCCCCTTGCGCGCGCTCGCCCTGATCTGCCGGCGCTTCCGCGGGAGCGCGGTCGTCTGTGGACCGCCCGCCGGCCCACGGCAGGTGTCCGCACCGGCGGCGGGGGGCCCCCGATGCCAGCGCGGCCTTGCACACGTGGATCACGCCGCTGCGCACCGCCTCGCCCCTTGCACGCGCGGGCCCCCCCTTCACACGCGGCGCGGGCCGTCCAGCGACTGCCCCGGGGATGAGGACGCCGGTCACACGGGCAGGTCGGACGGGCATGTCGGACGGGCAGTAGTGGCTGCACCTCTACGTCATGTCTCCCCGCGCCACGCGCGTGCGAAACATGCCGATCCCGCGGCCGCCCACGCGAGAGCTCCTGGAAGCCGGGCCGCCACGGTCGTGAGGAGGCACGGCGCGGGCCTCTGCTTGCCATCTTCGGCCCTGATGCTGATGGCTCCAGCCTGGCTCGACAACGAGGCACGAACCACGGAGTCCATGCCGGCCTGCCGTGTTTACGCGGAGCAGCGGCGTGCTTGAGGGCAGCCTGGTGGCCAGTGGCTTGACCTGTGCAGGGAGCCCCTCTCGGCACGCGTGTTGACTCGTCTGCGCAGAGCGTGCTCTCACGCGCTGCCTCTGGCCGACGCGCCCACAACTCCGAGTCGGAGCGACATGCTGACTGCATTGCTTGCCCTCTCCCCCCTTCCTACCTCTCGCGTGCGTCCTCCATCCAGGCCTCCTCCATCCCCTTCTCCCGTCGTTTCATTATGCACCCGTCCTCTTGCCATCCTCCCTCCTCCTGCCTCCCCCCACACTCCGAACGTACCGTTTTCTTTCTTCAGATCAGAAGAGCGTCTTTCTTCCTTCCGTTTTCCTCTGTTCCCTTCTTGAATCTCCACCCCTCCTCCATCCATCATGCCGCGTCCTCCCTCCATTCCCCTCTTGCCCCCCCTCCTTCCGTCATATCCCATTACACAGTCCCTCCCTTCCGTCATCTCTTCCCCCCCCCCCGTTGTTCCATCCTCCTCCCCCCTGCATCGCCTTCCACCCCGCTCGCCCATCCATCATCTCCGCCCCATCCCGTTTCACCTCCCTTGTTGGTTTCCCATCTTGGCGTCGACGGGGCATCGGGAACAAGAGAAGGAAGAGGAAGATAATGAACACAATGGAAGAGGCGGAGGAGGAATTGTAGAAGGAGGAGGAGCAGCAGCAGCAGCAGGAAGGACGAGGCCAGGAGCCAGGGACAGGGCCCCACCGCAGGCATGTTCCCACGAATGTTTTCACGCATGTGCCTCATCTTGCTTGCTGTCGGAACCGCTTAGGCCAGATCCCACACCCTGTGCAATCACACGCGTTTTCTTCATTGCACTTTCCACCATTAAGCTCCACGACCAGGCAACACCAGCCACATAGCGGAGTTGGGGAATGGTGGCGACCATGGAGGAGGACGATGAAATTAATGTGCTCCCCAAGCGCATGGTAGAGCATTATAAAACCTTGTCACTTATGACCTCACATCTGTCTCCACGCCTCCTTCATCAGCTTACGCTCGCTTTTCTACGCTCGCGCCGCTGCATCTCTACCTCATGTCAAACAGCCGCTTATTAGTCATTCGCCCCGGCTTCTGCAGTTTTGCACATACTACCAAGTGAACGCCAACTAGCAAACAGGCAAGCACACAGCCGCCAGCCTCAACCCTTACGCAGTTGCTCAGGTACGCCCTGCTTAAAAAGGCCCACAGACACCAGAGGAACGTGGGAGGAATTCGGGAGGAGTGGTGGGTTACGATGGGTGGAGGAGTGTCTCTAACATATATGGCCGTGTTGGCGGGCGCTTGCCCTATTGTGGGCCGCCAGGTGCTAGATACACGTTGTTCACCTCACACTTCGGCTGCCTCACATGATTGTATACGATGGTGCAGCGCCACCTTCCATTTGCTTTATCTGCAAGGCAAACCATCGCCTGTCTCTTTTACCTTGACGGTGCTACGGTGGGTGACTAAGCGACCTGGCTTACCCGTGCGGCACCAGCCCACGATGAACTTGAAACACCTTCGGCAGGCTGCTCCCTATTGTAACTGTGCATGCGTAACCCGTCCCCTCCTGTGCGACTCTTTCTGGCATTGTTATGAGTTGCCTTGGTTGGTTATGTTATGTGGTTCCCTCCTCCACCTGACTGGCAGGCGATGGCGTCACACTATACCCACAAGGACTATTAGTTGACATCCTCCTGACCTTCCTCTATCCTCCGACTGCGCTCGCCGTCTTCTTAATGAGTTCCTCGTTTTGCCTAAGTCGGCCGCCCACTGTTTTTGCCACGCTATAGCCACCGCGTTAGAGTCTGACCAACGTAAAAAAACATGAGCATGATACTGATGATGATGATGACGATGATGTTGATCATGCTGATGAGGGTGAGGATAATTGTGATGGTGGTGATGATGATGATGGTGATGGTGATGGTGATGATGATGATGCTGCTGATGATGATGATGATGCTGATGGTGGTGCTGCTGATGATGGTGGTGGTTGTGGAGATGGTGATAAGGCGAGAGGGAGGACGAGGCGGAGGAGACGGAGGAGGAGAGGGGAGGACGCGTTCAGGACAAGTGAGCGGTTTTCGATGCAGTTGCCGTCTCCAGATGTTCACGTCGCGTTCGCCCCGTATCCTCCCTGCCCTCAATCTTCATCATCTCCCCTCTTCCTGCTTCCTCCTCCTCTCTCCAATATTCATGTTTACAACCTCCGTAACCATTTTGGCTCAAGCTGCTTGCCAGCCACTCCATTCCGCTGCCACATTAACGACCCCTTTGCCGTACACTCAGCCGAGCGATGGCGCGCTTGTTGGCGGTGATGCTGATGGCGCTCGCCTTCGTGCAGGCCAGCGCCTTGGACTCGGAGGAGGACCGCCCCAAGGGCGCCCGCAGGCGGCAGATGGAGCGTACGCGCGCGGCGGAGCTCGACGCTGCGATCGCCAAGTCCGGCTGCGCCGACCTCGGCGGCGAGAAGTGGTTCTCGGACGCGCACGGCGAGCTGTTTCAGGTGAAGCAGGACAAATGCTCGATCTCCTTCCAGCTGAAGAAGAAGAGCGGCGAGACGTACCAGAAGAAGGGTGTCGTGCGCGGCACCAGGGTGCTGGTGGAGCCGCCGTTCCCGGAGGGCCAGATGCTGCCGAACCAGACCGTCATGTGGGAGAGCGGCGCCCGCTGGGAGCGCAAGTGGTGAACGCTCGGCTCGCCCGGGCGCCTCGCCTCCGGGTAAGCGCTTGGCCGGGTCGGAGGGCTTCGATGCCCTCAGCTTGCGATTCGGTCGGGGAAAATGTTTAGAACATAGCCTGGCGAAGGACCTAACCCCTAACCATATGCAATTGTGAATACCGCATGTGTGAGTATCGTCCTCGGTGGAGCTCCTTATGGGGGCCCGAACCGTGTGAGGGGAGTACCCTAGCGCGGTCCGAGCAGATGGGGTCGGCGGATCGCGCCGCATCGCCAATGCATCGGCGACACATCGGCGATGCATTTGTGATGCATCGGTGATGCACCTGTGATGCATCGCCGACGTCGGCGATGCATTGGCGGCGTCGACGTGAAGCAAATCGGGCTGCATATCGAGCCGCATCGGCGATGCAACGGCGATTCGGCGCGATCCTCCGACCCATCTATTCCGACCCCATCTAGGAGGCCTTGAGTAGAGGCCTCTTGAAAGCCTCTTAGAGTCCTCGTAGAAGCCTCTCAGGAGCTTTTTAGAAGGCTTTCAGAAGCCTCGTAGAACATCGTAGAGGCCACCTAGAGGCCTCGTAGAGGCTTCTTCTTAGGAGCCTCTAAGACGCCTGAACGATGCCTCTCTGCGACGAATCTGATTTCCTCACGACTTAGAGAAAGTAGCCGGCGAATGAACTATTATGACAAGGGAGAATTGCATTCCACCAATGTATATACCATCGAACCGGTGTTTACAATTCGCCCCCCCGCCCCCCCGGCCCCTCATGGAGTAGATCTTTGCTGTTTTTGGCGCCTGTTTCAGGCAGGTGGGTTCTCCGCCATAGGGCGCACTGTATCAAACTGTCGCATGAAGCAGAGGTCCGGAGCCAGACCACCCCCCTTCCGCCCAATGTCGCAACGCCGAGTAAGAAACCGTTCACGAACTGGCCCGCGGGCGAAGTCGGTCCGCCTGCGCAGCGGTCCTCGGCGAAGCGGGCCCTGGCAGGGCGAAGCGGTCCACCGGCGAAGTGGTATGGGCCGAGTGGTCCTGCGGCGGCGCGGCCTCTTGCCGTCGCTCCCCTCCCCCCTCCCTCGCTGTCGGCGGCGGCGCGGGGCGGCAGCGGATGGGTCTAGGCCTCCTAGATGGGGTCGGAGTACATGGGGTCGGGGCATCGCGCCGCATCGCCGATGCATCGACGATGTGGTTCGATGCGGAGCCCGTGCTTCTCCACGCCGACGTCGCCGACGCACCGCCGATGTCGCCGATGCGGCGCCATCCTCCGACCCCATCTACTCCGACCCCATCTGAGAGTCCTCTGGCAGCGGAGGGGGCGGACCCGCCAGGACGACGAGGAGATCCACAACGAGGACATCTCAGCGTACACCACAGACGGTGCCTCCTCTCAGAGGACGGCCGTTTGAGACACCGGCAGTTGGCTTTCGGGGGGGGCCCTCGTCGCCATGGCTGGACGCAGCGCAGAAAATTTGTGCGTTTGGACCCCTGGAGGGGTCTGGGGACCGATTTTGAACTCCTCGTTCCAACCCCTCCGCCCGTGTGGCAGCTCCGCGCCGGCTCGGCGCGGCGGTGACGCGGGCGCGAACCCGGAAAGGCAGAACGCCCTCGGGGGCCCGCTGGGGGGGCCAGGGGCCCGCAGGGAGCAGCCCACGGCGCGGAGTGCGCATGTGATCGTTTTCTGATGCATTGTTTTGCCGATCGGCGCGGGCCCTCGCACCCCTCCCCCCGCCCCATGGAGTAGATCTTGGCTGATTTGGGGCGCCGGTTTCAGGCAGTTGGAGTCTCCCCCACAGGGCGCACTGCTGCAAACAGTCGCATGAAGCAGAGGTCCGGAGCCAGACCCCCCTCTTCCGCCCAATGTCGAAACTCCGAATAGAAAACGCTCACCATGCACGAAAGATGCGATCGACAGCTTCTGGGGATCTCCAAGAGCGGTGATCGTTCAAGATTGTGCCAGGTGTCTGAAGCAACCTCAAGGCAGGGAATTGCTGTGCTCCTCCATTTTCCGTGCCCTCATCGTCGATGTCTTGGCTAGTCCAGAGTCCGGAGTGCCGAAACTTGTGCGTATCGACGTGCCGCTCGCGCGGGCTGCTTCGTCGTGGATGTCGCGGGCTCTCCACGCACCAAGAGCAGTCACAAGGACAACCTGGCTTCGTTCGACAATCCCTTATACTTTGGTGGTCTCTCCTCCTCCTCCTCCTCCTCCTCCTCCTCTTCCTCCTCCTCCTCGCCTTATCATCCTGGCGTGCGAAGGCTGGGGAGGGTGCGGGAGTCTTGGGATGGTGGGCCCTGCTTGCTCAGTCCAACTGTGCCCGAGGTGCGCAGCATGCGACGTGAGAGCGCGCTCTCCGAGCCGAGCGGCCCAGGGGCCCCGGGCAGAGGGACGCGCGGTGCGCTCTGGGGACCAAAAGGGTCGACGCTCTGCAGAGCCTCGTGCTGCTGCTGCGGCTCGCTGCACCCCCTTCCCAGAGCTCGCTTCGATTCCTCCGATTCGATTCGACTTCGATGGCTGCCGATTCCGATTCGATTCGACTGGGGGTTCCGATGTGGGCTCCGATTTCTCACGGGATGCACACTGGCCCGCCGATGTCCGCCGATTCGATGTTTCCCGATTTGGCTGCCGATTTCCGCCGATCCGATTCGTGTCGATCGCCGATCCGACTTGTCGATTCGATTCTGGGCTCTCTTGCCCCCTTTCCAGCCACCCCGTTCCATGACTGATGTCTTTGACTGATCTTGGGCTGGCCTCTGCAAGGGCATCTCCGCTCGCTCGTTCTGGCGCGATCTTCGGTGCCAGGGGCACGGGGCGGTTCGAGGTGCACAGGCACCGGGCCACGCGTGGAGGGTGGACCACCGGGTATTTCTTCCAGCTTCCGCGCGGGAGGCCAGAGGAGAAGAGGCTGAGCAGAGCAGAAGTGGGCCCCAGCCGAAGCATCGGGTCCTTGGGGGATGCCGAGGTCTTCGTCGTTAGTGGGCCTCGCCGAGTGCGGCCAGATCTGGGGCCGCGTGGGCCGAGGACCCTCGTGCCGCCCCTCCGACTGGCGCCGGCGTCGAGCAAAGATGTCCGCGCGCGAGTGAAATGCACTGGCAGAACAAGCAAAAGGCTGTATGCGGGCCGCAGGGCGGGCGAGTCGCGACAACCACGGTCGGGCACACTTTTGGCCGACGACGACATCTTGACCTCGTTGCGCGCCTTTGGGGCGCCTGTGTGCGTTGCTTTGCGTTGCGTTGCGTTGCGTTGCTTTGCGTTGCGTTGCACTGCTATTAGCTGCTTTGCTCTGCGACAGCGTAATAGAAGTTATAGCTACGTAGATCAGTCAGGAGGGGAAAAACATACAGACACAATTAATCGTCCACTCCCAAGAAAATATGGGAAACTATGGGAAGTGGGGGGGGGGAACAAAAACCCAGAACATATGTGAAACTATGGGGGATTATTTCATTTATGTGTATTTATTTGTGTGTCCCGGGGCCCCTTCAATCAGCTCTCCCCGCTGGAGGCCTGCACGAGCTGATGGCCAAGAAGGGCTTGAAGAAGAAGGAGGCCCACACGGAGCTGTAGCGCGATCACCCGCCTCGGCGGCGCGCCCGTTTCCACGGCTCTGGCTGTTTCGCTTCCTGCCCGCCTTGCCCCCCCCCTCCTCCCTCGTTGTCCCCCCCCCTCCTCCCTCGTTGCTTGTCCTCCTCCCCGATCCCTCACCCCCTCATCCGATCCCCGATCCCTCGCTCTCTCCCCCTCATCCGATCCCCGATCCCCGATCCCTCACCCTCCTCCCCGATCCCTGCTTGCCCTCCCCGATCCCCGATCCCTCGCTCTCTCCCTCCCCCTCTCTTTTTTGTTTCCCGTCCTCCCCGCCTCGCTCTCTGCGGCGGTCCTGGCCATTCTGCCTTCCCCGTCGTCCGCCCCCTCCTCCCTCCCCGTCTGCCCATGTTTGTCCTGGCTTCGCCCAGTCCACCCCTCCCTTCGTTCCCCCCCATCCCTCCCGCCAGGCAGAGAGGAAGGGAGGGAGGGAGGGCGAGAGGGCGGGAGCAGCTGCCAGCGAGAGCGCCGCCGCCTCGTTCTTCCCCC